CTCTGCCACTGAAATCCACCCCTGTGTGAGTAAATGGTCGCGAAGGTGTTTCACGTGGTTTGGGAAAATCCGCCATTAGTTGACTGCTCTTGTTCTATTTAAATCGATGGCAAGTCACGCATCTAACTAACTGCTTCTTAACTGTTCTCATCACCAATTACCCAGTATCTGTTTCGTAAATGGGTCGGTGTTAACCTTGCCCCGCCGTGTAATGTTTGTTTGTGAGCCTGATCTATTAATAACTCAGTTAACCGGTGGCTGCTGGCTGATATGATTGGATGCTTTAGCCGGTCGCTTAGGTTAGAGTGTGTCAACCGCCCTCCAACCTTAAGAATGCCACACTCATCTGGGATAGGGCTTAAACTCAAAATGTTGCTTGTAGATCGTAAACGCTTGTTATTTTTTAAGCGGCTGATGTCATCCCTGAAACATACATCTTGCACTGTTTTGATAAGCGCATTGTGAGCACTTTCTAATTCTGTACTCAATAAATAATGTTTTTTTGTTTTCTGCGCCTTGTTACGAATGTTATTCACAAAGCGCAAAGTTTAACTCAATGTTCGTATTACACGTGCCACAGAGCTATGTCTTTGTAGAAGTTCCAGAATTAATGATTCATTATTCTGTGTAAGCATGCATGTTTTTGTTTCGTCATCTCTTCTTGAGTGGTAAACTGTTTAGATTGAGGGATAATTTTTCTGGTCTTCGGCCAAGTAGGGCCTTCCCACCACAACGAGTGCGTAGGAAGTCGGGACGGAGATATACCTCTACTTGCGCAATCTGTAGGATTCTTCGCCGACTTGACATAATTCCAACAGGAATAAAGTATAGTTTCTGTTATTGCTTTTACACGATTAGCGACGAAAGTCTTCCAACAGTTTGCGTCACCGTTTAGCCATGTATTGAAACAGTCTGTACGTTTATGCACTCTATGACCTTTTTCGTTAATTTTGACAGTAATTGAGACGCACAGAGTTCCTTCCGAGATAGCGTCCAAGGGTGTTTCAGTGAAACAAGTTTTGTTTTTCCAGCTACTAATGTGATACTGGGTAGATCATTGTCGTTTGTAGACTTGCAATAAATTACACATCCGTACGCTTTCTCAGACGCGTCACTGAACCCGTGTTATTCAATTGGTTTTTCTGTATTGTCCAACTAACGCGGTATTGTTATGCTTTGTAAGCACGGCAGGTTTTCACGAAATACTCTCCATTCCTCTCTTATACTGTCTGGTAGTGGTTGGTCCCAGTTGACCCCTGATTACAATGCTTGTTGGAATATTATTTTGGTTTTTATTGTGGCAGGCGATAGCCAGCCTAGCGGGTCATATAATTTCGATAAGTCCGATAATAATAAACGCTTGGTGATGACGTCATCCTTATTGTCGGTGTAATGACTTAATTAAATGTAAACTGATCACTACGTGGATTCCATTTAATAGTGAGTGCCTTGTTAGTTTCTGCATGCTTCAAGTCTAGCATGTTTTGACTAATCAAATGTTGCGGTAAAGTGTCAAGCAGTGCGGGCGTATTGCTCGCCCGTTTGCCTAAGTTGAACCTCTCAGCATCTGGATAAGTTGTTCTTGAGAGGTTCGCGCCTCTGAAAGATGATTACTTACCCCCAAAATATCGTCCACATACAAATGCTGACTCAGCACCTTGGCAGCGAGCGGATATTTATGACCATCGTCTTGTACTAATTGTTTAATTGTTCGCATCGCTAGAAAGGGTGCGGACTTAGTGCCATATGTTATGGTACAAAGTTGGTATTCATTTAGGGCAGTGTTGCTCTCCTCACGCCAGATGATCTTCTGCAGCCTCTGATCTGCCTCATGTATGCGAATTTGCCTATAAAATTTTTCAATATCCGCTGTGTAGACAAATTGATAAGTACGCTATCTCAAAATTATAGCTTGAAGATCTTGTTGCAAGTTTGTTCATCATCAAACATCAGCTCAGTTAAGGCTGTAACCCGATTTTGTTTTTGCTGACGCGTGGAACACTACACGCAGCTTAGTTGTAGTGGAATCAAGTTTGAAAACTCCATGGTGTGGCAAATAACAGCTGGTTTCACTAGATTGTTCACATAGTTTCATGTGACCTAGTGTCACATATTCATCTATGAAACTCTCATAACCATTTGCCAATGTTACATTGTTCGCTAGTCTTTTTTCTAATTGTCTAAATTGCCCCCAATTTGTTAGCGAATTGTTGGCCATTTAGACCCCTAATTTGTTAATTAAATGTAAACTGATCACTACGTGGATTCCATTTAATAGTGAGTGCCTTGTTAGTTTCTGCATGCTTCAAGTCTAGCATGTTTTGACTAATCAAATGTTGCGGTAAAGTGTCAAGCAGTGCGGGCGTATTGCTCGCCCGTTTGCCTAAGTTGAACCTCTCAGCATCTGGATAAGTTGTTCTTGAGAGGTTCGCGCCTCTGAAAGATGATTACTTACCCCCAAAATATCGTCCACATACAAATGCTGACTCAGCACCTTGGCAGCGAGCGGATATTTATGACCATCGTCTTGTACTAATTGTTTAATTGTTCGCATCGCTAGAAAGGGTGCGGACTTAGTGCCATATGTTATGGTACAAAGTTGGTATTCATTTAGGGCAGTGTTGCTCTCCTCACGCCAGATGATCTTCTGCAGCCTCTGATCTGCCTCATGTATGCGAATTTGCCTATAAAATTTTTCAATATCCGCTGTGTAGACAAATTGATAAGTACGCTATCTCAAAATTATAGCTTGAAGATCTTGTTGCAAGTTTGTTCATCATCAAACATCAGCTCAGTTAAGGCTGTAACCCGATTTTGTTTTTGCTGACGCGTGGAACACTACACGCAGCTTAGTTGTAGTGGAATCAAGTTTGAAAACTCCATGGTGTGGCAAATAACAGCTGGTTTCACTAGATTGTTCACATAGTTTCATGTGACCTAGTGTCACATATTCATCTATGAAACTCTCATAACCATTTGCCAATGTTACATTGTTCGCTAGTCTTTTTTCTAATTGTCTAAATTGCCCCCAATTTGTTAGCGAATTGTTGGCCATTTAGACCCCTAATTTGTTAGCGAATTGTTTTTTCATGGGAATTCGCACTTCATATCTGCCGTCAGATAATCTTCGTATTGTATTTTGGTATAAGTTCTCGCAGTACTCCTCTTGAGCGGTCAAAGGCTTGAGGGTTGACTCTCAGAAATCTCTTCAGATTCCCAAAATAATGATATTTCTTCTAGGTTGTTCAATACAATTAAACGTGGTAACGTTGCCCATCAATACCCACCCCATTCGGGTATGTTGTTGAAGGAATTTTGCGTGATTGTAGAAATAAACGAAATATTTTACTGATACAACTTTTAATATACCGAGTACTATATGATGACAGATAGAAAAAACGGGGGGCGAGGCAGCGCCACCCGTGACACATATTAGAACTAAAATTGGTTGCGTTCCATTACAATCTAACACCCTCCCTTGGAACACAACCCCATTTTTGTTGTACAATATAAATGTTTATCAGCAGTAGTGCCCTTCGTTAAATTATCATCTATCATCTCCTCACCTTTAATATACAAAAACATTATTTTCAGATCAACAACATGACTCTTTAGGAAATTATAGCGAATATCTATATGCTTAGATCTAGATAAATAGCAATCATTGTTAGTTAGTTTTATTGCACTCTGGTTGTCACTGAAGATGGTGAGCGGGTTGTTCAGCTGTTGACCGAGCTCCCCATGCAACTGCTGCAGCCACAGCGCCTCCTGCGCCGCGGAAGTCATCACCATATATTCCGCCTCGGTGGTCGACAAGGCGACGGTCTGTTGCTTGTGTGACCGCCACGAAATAGCACCACCTGTAACATAAATAAATAACCAGTGCACGACTTTCGGTCGCGCACGTCACTGGCCCAGTCGGCATCACAATATCCTGTTATTTCTTCATTACCATCTTTGGTATAGACTAACTTTAAATCTTTTATGCCTTGTAGATATCTAAATATTCTCTTCACTGCTGACCAGTGTTCAGTACTTGGATTTTTGTTAAATCTGCTCAGTGTATTGACAGCAAAGCATATATCTGGTCGAGTGCCTTGCGCCACATAGAGTAAGGAGCCGATTGCTTGTTAATAGGGATAGTCAATCTGTTCTGCTTCCCGTTTTTCATTAAATTTCATACCAACTTCAAATGGCGTTTTCACAGGTTTGCAGTCTAACATTCTGAACCGTACCAACATTTCTTTTATGTACTTTTCTTGATCTATCATTACCTTTTCTTTGTCTCTGGTAATATGTAGACCCACACATTGACTCGCTGGGCCAATATCTTTCATTTCAAAATGTTGTTTTAATTTTTCCTTCAATAACATTTTAGTTGACTCTTGAGCAGTAAATAGTATTAAGTCGTCCCACCCAGACGGCTATAAATGTATTTTTCTCAACATTATAGAAGACACAAGGATCTGTTTTTGACTGTTGCATTCCTAACTCATGCAAGGCATTTTTCAGTTTAGTGTTTCACAATCTGCTTGAGGCCATATATGGATTTATGTAGCTTATTGTATACACTAATGTAGCTTGCATACCTGAGATCCTTATTTATATTGTTCTGGCTGCTGCATATAAATCTCTTTATCAATTTCTCCTTGGAGGAAGGCTGACACTGCATCCATTTGATCTATTTGTAGCTCATATTTGGCTGCTAGGGCAAATAAATAACGGATAGCAGTATACCTGACAACTGGAGAGTATGTTTCTTCATAGTCAGTGCCTCTTTTCTGAGCATAGCCTTTTATTACAAGCCTTGCCTTATAACGGACAACATTTCCACTCTGACCAGTTTTTGTTTTGAAAACCCACTTGTAGGGTAAAGTTTTTTTGCCTGGGGGAAGATCTGTCAAGCTCCATGTTTTGTTCTTCATCAAGGAACTGTATTCTTCATCCATGGCTGTCTTCCATTTAGTGGCTTGTGGTGATGACAATGCCTCCTCAACAGTCTACTTGTCAGTCAAGTCAGTGTAGAAGCACATATAATTCTCTTTATCTTCATTATTTTGTTTATCACGTCTCCGGAGTGATCTTACGGTCACATTAGTGTCATGGTCCTGGCTCACACAACGAGGGGGGTAGTAAGTCTCATCTAGGTCCCCAGTATCTGTGTCATACTCACTTGAGTCTTCACTTTTACTAGTTTGTCCGTTTGATTCCTTTTCCAGCGACTCCTGAGTGTGCATTTTCTGATACTGAGTGACAGATGGCATCCCACTGCTAGTAGATGGAGCGGTGCTGCTACTGTCTGACTGACTCTCCTTGACTGTAACATCAGTATCACATGGAATGGGTACATTGACATAATCATTATACTTCTCAATGAAAGCAACATCTCTACTTTTAATCATTTTATGTGTTGTAGGATTCATTAAACGGTATCCCTTGGAATTTTCACAGTATCCCACCAATATCATTTTCTCAGATTTTTTATCCCATTTTTCACGTTTTTGTTTTGGTACATGTACCATAGCACAGAGCCAAATATTTTCAGATGTGATAAATTGGGTATTTTACCTTTCCATAACTCGTACGGTGTTTTACCTTCCAAGGAATTCGTGGGAGACCGGTTTACAATATATGCAAGCAAGTCGCTAAAGCTTCAGCCCACAATTTTTTCTCCAGGTTTGCATAAAACAACATGCATCTTGCACGCTCCACTAGTGTTCTGTTCATTCGTTCTGCCATGCCGTTGTGCTCTGGAGTGTATGGAGTGGATGTCTGATGAATAATACCATGATTAGAAAGGAATTTTTCAAAATTGCTATTGCAGTATTCTGTACTGTTATCGGTGCGGAGCCATTTAATCTTATGATTCAATTCATTGTCTACTTTGGATTTAAAATCTTTGAAGGTCTCAAGAATACTCATTTTATCTTTGAGAAAGTACACGTGAACCATTCGTGTGAAGTCATCAGTGAAAGTTATAAAATATTTCATACCACCATATGACACAGTCTCCATAGGGCCGCATAAGTCGGAATGTATTAGTTCAAGTGGTTTTGCTGCTCTTGAACCTACATTTTTAAACGGCATCCTGGAGTGTTTACCTTCAAAACAATTAATACAGGTGATGACATTACCTTTGTCCGGAGTCAAAGTGACACCCTCTACGCAATCTGGCAGTTTTTTGATGTCTGAAATATTCAAGTGTCCCATTCGCAGATGCCACAAATAAGTGTCATTAGAATTCACAGCACTTGAAGTCAGATGAACCAATTCTTCACTTATGTTTATGATATATAGGTTATTGTTCAATACTGCAGTACATATTAGTTCTCCTTTAGAATTCTGAATGTACATCCCTTGTTGTTAAATGTGACATTATATCCATTCTTCATAATGGTGCTGACTGAAAGGAGGTTTGCAGCTAACCCAGGGACAAACAGAACATTTTTAACTTATATTTTATCTTCCTGGTTTATTTGTATATCCACACATCCTACTTCCTTTACAGGTAATGACTCAATTTTTGCTACAGTCACACTCTTTACTGATGGCTCAGTGACATTGTACAATCAATCATCTCTGCTTGTCATGTGCATGGATGCACCGGAGTCTATTATCCATTTATCACTCACATTTTGTTTAATTGTTGCTGAAAAGGCGGTTACAAAACTGGAGCCTTCCTTTTTATCCGTTGTCTTCTTTGGTTGCTTACAAAGCTTGGCAAAATGACCATACTTGTTGCAGTTAAAACATCTTGGCCCCTTTTGTTTAACTGACTGAGTATTATTTCTTGTTTTCTTAGAGTTTGTATAGAAGACAGAAGACTTTGATGTACTAATTTCTTGTATGAGCTTAGTCTTAACTGAATCTGCATTAATTTTGATGCCTGAGTTCTCGAACCCCATAATCATGGACTTGTATTCGTCTGGTAAGTCAGCCAGCATCAATGTTCCGAGCCATTCGTCATTGACATCGAATCCAATGTTACGCAGCTTGTGAGCAGTGTTCATAATCTTGCTCACATACTCCTCAATACTATTGCTTGATTCCAGTGTCGTGTTTATTAAGTCTTTCAGTAAGCCAACTCTTCGCGTAAATCCATTGTCATCAAAAGCCCTTTCTAAACTTTCCCATACCTGTTTTGCTGTCGTGCACTCTTGAACATGAACGTAATTTTGAGGATCAAGAAGTAAAATCAGCTTGGCTCTCGCTTTTACGTCCTTGCTAGGATCAATGGGGTCGTTGTTAGGCGGCTCAATACAACACCACAAATCCTCGTGCTGTAAATATGTCTTCATGCTGAATTTCCAGGTGGAGAAGTTTTCTCTTCCGACTAACTTTTCCAAGTTAAACAAATTTGAGCCCATTCTGAAGAATAATTCTTTAAACGAAGCTTTACGAGTATCACGTTGTGGTTACTTATAACCTCAAATCCAAAATCGACCAGTATTTCACCAATGGCAGTTGTATTATCACTTTCCTGATATTTCCTACTGTTCTACTAAGTAACCACGCTCTGCTACCATGAAGGAATTTTGCGTGATTGTAGAAATAAACGAAATATTTTACTGATACAACTTTTAATATACCGAGTACTATATGATGACAGATACAAAAAACGGGGGGCGAGGCAGCGCCACCCCTGACACATATTAGAACTAAAATTGGTTGCGTTCCATTACAATCTAACAGTTGTGCAATAGGCGCGTGAGGGGGCCCGCGGAGTATACCATCTTGCACTATTTCAGCATAGACGCTCGCGTCAAGAAGAATATCAATTGGTCGCGAGATGTTATAATGTAAAGTTGCGTAGATGTGGCCAGTTTTGCTACTCAAACGAGTAGATAATACCTTTTTCATTACTAACGCCTCAATAGTGAGTCTGCAATCGCTATATAGTGATTCGCAAACTAGTTGTATCGTTCTATGACTTTCATTTGATGATATTCCAACACCTAAGACAGTTGCTTGTTGTTTGCGCCGGGGCAGTCCCAAACGCTGCCCCGCTGACTCAGTTATCAGACTGATTTGTGACCCTTGATCAAGTAAACATCTCATTGTTAGATATGTGCCATCAACAGCCATGATTTTTAGCTGAACCGTAGCCAGTAGTACTTCGCTATGGATTCCGGCCACGTGATTGACATTCCGAGGCAAAGAGTCTGACGTAGTAGGTTGCTTGTTGGCTGTGGTCGCGCTGTGGATTACTGACCTAGATATTTCCGTGTCAATCACCTCGTGTAATATTGTGTGATGTCGATCATTGCAAATTTTGCATGTTTTATTTGAAGCGCATTCTTGCCCATTGTGTGAAACACATGCAATTTGTGCAAATTTGCAATTGTTTTAATGTTTTCAATTTAATTTCCGATGTCATGTTGCGAAACACCTTGCAATAAGCAAGTATGTGACGAGTTTTGCAAATAGGACAGCTTCTTTCCGCTTGTGCAATACAAGATTTTGAAGGCAGTTTAAACCTTCCACTTGTAGAAATATGTTTTGATTTCAATTCTTTTACTGGCGCGCTGTTTTCTTTGTGTGCAAAGGTTTTATTTCTCTTAATAGGTTCTAAATTAGTCTGATTTAGTCTATAAAAACAGTGTATGTATACTATGTGATTAACATGTATTGTGGTGAGAAATAAAGTTATTTTTATTATTATTATTTATGCGCTAAACGCTATTAATTCATCAAAGGAGGGCAGCTCCCGTGGAGTTTTTCTACTCTCCATGTAGGACGCATATGTTTCGGGGCCAATTTTTCAGTCAAAATGTGAACTAAGATTGGATCCCATGTAGTTGTATTGACCCCCAGATTGTTAATTGCGTGGATTGTTTCCAGACAGGTGTCATGTTACCGTTTTATCTCGAACGCTGTTTGTTGTTGTACTGTGGGTTGATTCATAAATAATTGAATTTGTTTTGTAAAAAGTAACTGTATGTTGTTATATCTATGAGTCAGCCAGCACGTGTCATAATTTTCGGCAGATACATTCAAATGCTGAACAAGTTGGCCATTGAGCGTAACTACCGGAAAATGTAGGTATTTCAATTTGCGGCACAGTTTGATCACGATGTTTTGAAATATTCAAAGCAGTGTTTAACTCTCGTTTAGTGGCCTCAAACAGCGTTTCATGTTTTGTATACTCTTCTTCATAACTCACGTTAGTATCGACTAGTAAATTGTCAATTTGCCAATGCAATTTATCTATTATTTTCCATCGAGCCTGCAGCATCTCGAGTTTGTCTTCAATTTCCCACTTCTCCTTAATATCGGATATATTAATATTCTTGATGATTCTCATGAAGGCTAGAAAGTTGGTACTTTATTGACTAATAAGCTCGTCTGTGTTAGAAGGTATCCCCTTATCCTCAGTAGATGAAACTTGCCAGTTCTGTAACAACCCACGTATCGTTTCATATTCCTGTTTAACCCTGTCATAGGCCTTGCTGCATAATAATAAAAATAATTAACTTATGCGATCAGGCAAATCTTCACAACACTGACAACTACGACCCACAAAAACAGAAAATAGAAAACTGGAAAAAGAAAGTACTACATGGACGGCACCCTCATGACTTAGAAAAGCCTCACATTAATACAATAGCGTCTAACAAGTGGCTACAAATTGGCAACTTGTTCCCTGAAACTGAAGGCTTTATGATAGCCATACAAGATCAAACCATCAACACCAGAAACTACAGAAAATACATTATTAAAGAGCCCACTCTCACAAGTGACAAATGTCGCCGATGTCACACTTAATCTGAAACTATACAGCACATAATTGGAGCATGCACAATACTCGCACAAACAGACTACACTCACATACATAATCAAGTTGCAAACATTATTCATCAAAAACTAGCACTCAAACACTCACTCATACAAGACACCAAAACTCCCTATTATCAATATAAACCACAAACTATCCTAGAAAATGACACGCACAAAATATACTACGACCGCGCTATACTTACAGATAAAACCATACACTTCAATAGACCAGACATAACCCTACAAGACAAGATTAGAAAAATCATACCTTATAGATATTGCAGTCCCAAATACACATAATTTACAAAAAACAATATCCGAAAAAATAAGCAAGTATGCTGACCTGAAAGAAGAAGTGCTCAGAATATGGAAACAACATAACATCTACATAGTCCCCATAGTCCTCTCCATGACTGGTATCATTCCAAACCATCTTCTCCATTGCTTAAACAATTAGGTTTATCAGAATTCGTTTATATAAGTTTACAGAAAGCCTCGATATTAAACACTTGTAGAATCGTCAAAAAATTTATGCAGTTAGATGACACCACACTAACATAATGTACACACCACATATTGTATTTACTTGGTTTAGGCCCGTAAATACGGTGGAACCAGCTAAAAA